CACACACACACACACACACACACACACACACACACACACACACACGATTTTAGTCTTTTAGATAAGATTTTTTAATTTGATATGTTTTGCTAGTTATTGTCCTTCTGAAACTTTACATCAGTTACACTCAAAAAAACAGATGTGTTGGATTTAATTTAAAAAACACTGGTTCCACTCAACTGARCTGAGTAATTTATTTACTTTAATGTAAAATAATTGTCACCATTACTCAATTCAGTTGAGTGGAACCAATTAATTTTTTTAAATTAAATCCAACACATTTGTTTTTGAGTGTAAATGGTGTAGCAAAAATCMAAGCAAACTGCAATAATTAATGCCTTATATGATATTTGTGATCTATAAAAATGTACATTTCAGACATTTTCACAATAAAAACAGAGTCATGTTACCCTCTGAGACGCGTCCATCCCAGCAGCTCTCTGGATGTTGGTGTGGTCCCACGTCATCCTCAGGSTCTTACGAAGACGAGTCGTCTGATCTTCTGATGTCCTCAGGAGAGCGAATGTCTTATATTCTTGCTTCTGTCCACATCCCCAGTCATTTGGACGTCATCTGGGCCCAAACACGAAGCAGAAAACCTCCGCTAATTCTCTAGTTTCTGATCTTTGCTCATTTAAAGTTTGCTGAACATTAATTAGACTCCTGTTGTAGATCATCTCCAAGGCGTCTCTGTGGACCAAAGACAAACCGCAGGCATGTCTTTGTGGCGGCACGGCGAAGCTCTATTAGGACATTCCACTACTGTGAGTGGGAAATCTGACGTGTCAGTAAATACATGAAATAATCCAAGTGCATAAAAAAGATCTAATTTCAGATGGGAAGCTTTTTAAAGGCCATGCTAATGAGGGCTGTTTTATACAGAAGGTGCCATAGTGACACATCAACAAGAATTTCTGCTTTATTTATTTATTTAAAACATATTAAGCACACAGCTCAAAATTTCTAAAAGTTTATTGAAGCTGAGAATCCAAGTATTTGAGTGGCCAGACAATTTTTAGCTTTATAAAAAAACATAATGTTTTTTATGTTCAACTCCAAAGACCGAAACTTAATAAAAGTAATTCCTGATTAGGATAATTCTTCACCATCATCCTCCCAGCAATTTAGCTGTTTGTTGCCATCTCTTGGACAACAGGAAGCACTGCTTTAAACAGAGGAWCTCGTTTCTGACAGAATATGTCGCCTGAATCGATGAGGATGTAATTTTACATCAAGTGTGTTAAAACTGTGCAGAACAGCTCTTCAGAAACAATCAATAAAGCTTCCCATAAGCTTTATTGATCGTTAAAGCTGCTTTCAATATATTCAAAGACTTCGTTGAGTTCGTTAATAAAGGTCACCGTGTTTGTTTGGATGAACCCCGGAGAGCTGCATTTCAGTGAAGTAATTAAGGGGGAGGGGGTGCATCTGTCTCTTTAAGAACCTCCTACCGTTTCAGACACTCCCACTTCAGCACGACTTCATAATGCTTCGAGGGAGAGGAGCTCCGTGGGGCGGTGACTCGGCTGGGGACTGAGCCCCAAATAGGCGGAGCTTTGTACCAGGAAGCGTTTAGGCAGCTCCACATGGCCACCACAGGGGATTCAAGGATTTCTCAAACATGCATGAATGAGTTAAAGCAACACGTTGGGTTTATTTTTGATGAGGGAATGACATTAGAACATGAAATAAAGCTCAAAAGTTCAAAAAGGTAAATTTTGCATAATACCCCCTTTAAAAGCCTTGCATTTCTTGAAAGAGTATACCCCCCCACCCCACAATCACCTGCAGCCTTTAACCATGTAACAGTAGCCCCTAAAATTCCTTAAAACCCTTTTTTCTTTTTTGTAAGGGTGTCAAACTAAAGGTAAGAACCAGAGGAAGTGGTCTGATACCCTAGTTTTCAAAATAAAAGCCTTCAGTAGTGTCGTGAAACATTTAAAGGCAGAAACCGCACAGTTTTTGCCCACGTGTGGAACTAAGACTGGGGTTAAAGGGGCAATATCATGTAAAATCAACTTTTTTGAGTTTTATCTCATGTTATAATGTTATACTCTCATAAAAAACATGTCC